CCCTGCGGCGGGGAGGAGCGGGCGGGTGACAGGGCCGAGCTCTGTGGGACTGTCGAGGCCAAGGCGTGGGCCCAATATCCACGTGTTGTAAGGAAATCCCGCATCCCTGCTCCAGCCCTGGTCGCCAGGCACACGGCATTCGCGACACAGACGGAGAAGCTGCTGGAGGAGGGGCGGAGCTGGGCGAATTCCGCCTTGTTTTGCTGAAATATCCTCCTTTGCGCTGTGATTTTCGGCTGGTGACTTGTGAAGTCCGAGAGGTCCGGAAAAAGCCTGAAAGGATGGCTAGGAAAAGCCCGTTGTTTAAATTCGTCATCTGGAAAGCTGCACTTGGTTGGGAATGTGTGAAGTGAAGGTCACAAGCGCAGGGCTGGTTCAGACACGGCCCGGCTGGAGTCACCTCCAGCATGGGCAGCAACCTCCGCCTTGGCTCCTCCCTGCAGAAAAAAACTCTTAAAAATAGTAAAAAAAAACAATTTTTAAAAGGTGTTTTTAGACCCCAGCTGGCAGGGTATGGGTTAGAAACCCTGCCCTGCTTTACCTGGGGCGTCAGTCCAATGAATCCCTTTGCAACGAGAAGGCAGGCACATCCCTCCCTCCCACGCTTTTTCTCCCAAAAGGGAATTATTTCACGATGGACTGTGCATGGATCCAAGCAGAGGGGCCCACGGGTGCCCGGAGCCACGAGCAGCAAGCGCAGGAGTGTTTCTTGGTGGACTTTGTGGTGCTCGTGTCTTGGCGCCAGCTGCCCCACGCAATTAGCTCCGCGGTGCAGACGTAACCTTGGACCTGGTTTCATTTTCTGCCTCCATCTCCTGCTCCAGCCTGACATTTTATCTCATTAGAGACAGTGCAGATGGAGGAGGAAACCAAGTCACGCACAGTGTTCATACGACTAATACAATTAATCCAAGGTGGTGCCTAGCGCCACAATCTCTCGGATTGGGAAAAATCTAAACAAACCAACATAGCAGCAGGCAGGGGTATAGGAAAGCAGCTGAAAACAGCTTATGTTGGTAAAAAAACTTTTTTTTTTCTAGATTTGAAATTCATGCCATGCTTCTAGAAAAGTTTTGCTGAAGATGTTGCTACCTTTCATTATCACTGTAATTCGGTGCCCTTCTTCCAGCACTCCTGGTTATGTGCTCCGTTGCCTCTAAATCAAAGTGTCACTTAATTAAATGCCTCTTGTCATCAAGACCATCATCTTATCCAATGAAAGATAAGCAGCTACTCTCAAAAAACAAAAAACACCACCTCCCAACAGAGCAAATATTGTTTAAGTTTTTCTGAAGACAGTCACCAAAATCCCCCTGAATGGAAAAAAATATGTATTTGGTGTCATCCATTATCTCAAGATTTTTCTTCTTGAAGTGACTAGACAACCTTTCAATGCAAAAGAAGTGACGTTACCTCCTTTTCGTAATGACTCATGAGGATACCCACTCCAGCTTGCCCTCTGATTTACAGAATGGCAAATCTGTTTGACTCCTCTTTGCCTTAGGCTCGGGGCAGCATTTTCTGAGGGACATGAATCACCAAGATGGTTGGGTCCAGCCTCGCCTGAACTCTGCTCAAAGCGCCTCTGTTCCTCAGCAGATGTTTCCTGGGGGTATCTCTACGCTCGCAGTTTGCCACGGTCCCTGCCTGCCTCATTACCCAGCTCGGGTCCTTGGAGCGTCCCCATTTCACACGTGCTGCGATGGGTTCCTGGGGCGTCCCTTGCCACACAGACCCACAGCACGCATGGAAGTTTGTGCTCTGTGCTCTCCACGTGATCCTGTGATGGCATCAGTGCAAAGAACATTTCTAACATTTTTCCAAACTGTATTGCGAAGAGCATCTTCCTTGCTCACCAAATGCATCATTACTCCACTCATTAGAGCTGATGAGATCCATGCTACCACTCCTTAGTTTAACTCTCTATTTTCTGCTGCTCATGTTTCATCTTTCAGGGCAATACTGCAGCTTTTGGTATGTGATGGCTGCGTATTTCTATCTCACACAGAATTAATAAATGTTTTACTTGCTCTCAGACTGTAGCCAGGCCAGTAAGCCCTCCCAAAACCACTTATGGGGTCTTGAAAGTTCACTGCAACTGAGCTTGGGTCTGGAAGCAATAGTATTACCCATATTTTTCCTACATCCAGGTTTCTGCAGACCTCTCCAACAACTCCATAGACTTAACTACAAACCTGCTTTCAAGTAATTCACAGCATTTACTATGAAACTGAAAATGAAAATCCAGAAGTTACTCAGATTCCTGGAACATTCGTAATAGCCTCACAAATAATAGAAATGCAAGCTCCAAAAACACATGTGGTATTTCCTGCCAATTTCTGCCACGATTAACTGATTTCTTAGCTTTATCTCCTGTAAGCTAACTGCCCGTTTACAGAAAGATTACTGAAGGCAGCTCGGAAATACATCATTACAACCCAGATGTCATCTGTTTGCCAAAGTGGGGAGGCAGAGCAGCATGATTCAAGTTGTAGTCAGTTGTATTGAAATGTTCTCATGCTGTATTCAAGACTTCGTGTGTGTCCAGTTTTCGCTGCTCTATTTCATATTAAAACAGAGGAAAACCTATCTGAGACAGTGTATGGTTTTATTTACACAAAAGAGGCAAAACTGATGTTTCACAGCTAACAGAGGGTGCAGGAGAATTAATTTCAAGTAGAAGTTTTCTCAGCGAGGTACATGATTCTTAATTAGCTTTCTTGGTAAATCAAACTCCCGTCAGCCAGGACAGACCTCTGTGACAGCCCACTAAAATCCCTAGAAAGTCAGTGACTCCAAGTGGGTGTTACTGCTCAGGGAGGCTAGAATGACTTTGAGAAATACGCTTGAAATAATTCTTTGGAGGACACCTCCCCTGCTTTTGATAAAGCAATATTTAGGTGAATTGCTTAGGCTGACTAAGGAACCTTTAGGTTTAGGTTCCTTAGTTCCAGCAGTTGTATTTTCTGTAAAACCAAGATATTGTAAGAACTCATTACTACTTCTGAACAGCTTTACACTTAAGAAAGGTTAATTATTGCCAAGCTGGCTAGCATAGGAGATATATGAATAAAATGTGCTTGTTTTATGAAACAGCATTGGTAACTCAGCTTGTGGTGCTTCAGTCCCTAATGAATCAGGGTCTCAGGATGTTTACAGGGAGACTGTGCTCTTTTGAAAGCAGTACAAAACACAGGTATTGGCCATTTATGGCTCTTAAAGATTTCAAAACATTTTGCAGGAAAATAATCTCCAAACCCCCCTTTTTTGTGGATATTTCTGTAGACAAGTATGTTCCTTATTTCTATCACTTCAGCAGTACCAGACAAAGCACTTGAAGTGACAAACCCAGCAAACAACATGACCAGTGTCATGGCAAACAAGGGCAAAGAGAAGCAGAAGCACAAGAATTTGCAAAGTACAGAAGTATCTGCACCACAGATACTCAATCCACAGACTTTTTCCTGGAAAGATGCAGTAACAGGGCATGAAAATGCAGACGGGCTTGTTAAATCTCACACTGAGTTTAGACCCATCTCTCTCCTCACCCTTCCTGTAAGTGACCGCTCACAACCTTCACTTCTGAGACATTTTAGCTGTATTCAAATTTTAGGTGAATAAACATAATGTGGACACCCCCATGAAGCTTTTCATGAATGGAAGAAAAGTTGATAAAAATAAATGTTTTCTTCTGCTTTTTTTCCTTAATGTGCACAGAAGATAAACAGCTGAGTGTATGGTATTGTGTTTCTAGGTTTGAGTTCATTAATTTCTATCCAAGCCTGGCAAGAAATCTCTCCAAGCTGTTACTGGATGATCAGAGCTCTGTGCTGTCACTTTGATCCCTGCAGGATTTGTCCTTCTGAGGGAAAAATACCCATTCAGGTGTCTCGACTGCCTGAGCTGAGAGGTCGGGAACTGAACGGGTGATGGACTCTTCAATACCCACACATTTCTAAAGGCAAACCCAGGGGGAGCTACGTTAATGAAAATGCTTCTGCGCATACCTTATTGCAGAGTGAAAGCATCATCTTCAGGGGTTGCCAGTCTCCAGCATGATATAGATATTAAATTCACATAATCTGTCTTTAAAAAGTACATGGGTGAGTAGATTTTGAACTACATTGTACCTCGCAGTACAATTTTATTTTCTCACAACTGAAATGCAGGCAGGTGGTTATGAATATGTCTTAAAATTCTTTATCCAGCCTGAAATGTAAGCAGTTTGAAAACATTTCGGGGAAGAGAACCTTCTAGTAGGGGCTGCAGCAGCTCTTAATGATTTTGATTTTAGCTTGCAACAGTATTCGAGTTACCAAGATTACAATATAGTGGAGAGACTCTCATTGGGAGAGGAGATTGAAGGAGCTGAAGCCCCATGAGTTGACAGGGATGCTAATAGAGCAGCGCTGAAGTTTACAGAGCAGATCAGAGCAGCTGGGAGGGCTGATAGAGGGGATCAGGGCAGCCCAGAGGAGCCGTAAGAGGATCCAAGTAAGTGGATTAGCAGCACCCGCAGCACCCGCGACTTTTAGTTTCCAAACTCCCCTTGCCTTCAGCGCGGCGCCTTCACTAACGTGTGGCAGCAGAAACAGAGAGGATCAAGGCGCAGAAGGCGGCTCCCTGCGGCGCGCTGGGGACGGCTGCGCCGCAGGCTCCGCAGCGTCCCCGAGTCAGGCTCGGGGCTCACAGGAGGGCGGCTTCAGCCCACAGCCTGTCGGAGCACCTCGTGCTGCTGCTCCTGCAGCTCCTTCTGCGTTCGTTTTCTTGCTGACGCTCCAGTGACTGGCTCCTTGCGTGGCTGCTTTCTCTCATCTGCCTTGAGCTGCTGATTCTGAAGCAAAACGACACAAGAACATTGGTAAGATTAGCAGCATCACCCTCTTTGAACTCTTCTGAGTAGGCGAGGCTGGACTCTGAGCTGAGCTTTGCTTGGTTTGTGCCTGCAGCAGCCATCAGAAATGGGACCACTTAGCCCAGCTGCGCTCGGGCTCCCACCAGCAGCTCCCAAACCACCCAAAAGCTTCACTGTGCCCCGTCTGCAAATGCCACCCTTGACTTTACACTTCACCTCTTCAGAGAGGCAAAGACACATCCAGGCTTTGCTAAAATTTCTAAGCACTATTACTCTTTTTACAGCACAAAGAACAAAGCTCCATTACTCTCTATATAGCGCAGAAAAAATAATCCAGCCAAAATAACAGTCCCTACTCACAATGTGCTCAGTTACCTGGAAGCACCTCGGCTGTAAGGCAGAGGCTGGGCAAACCCTGCGGAGCTCCTGCTTTCTGCAGGTGGTGGAGGAGCCCAGAAGAGGTGCACACACACACAGACTCCACTCCTGCTTGTACATTAGCTTGTCAGAAAACGGTTGTTGAGACCTCTTCTTCTTTATCCTCCAACCACCTCTACTGCTTTGCCCCCTTGGTGTCTCCATGCACTCCCTCCAGGATCCAAATGTGAGAACTGCTTTGCCTTCAGCAGCAGTTAGTGTCTGAATATCCAGTTATCCCACAAGTACTGCGTTGGGATGGATGATCATCAGATCTGATATTGTACCACCCTTCCTTGCAATTTGAATCCAAAGCAGACACCACATGATGGAAGGCAGGAAAAGACCAGTCTGGTGGAGTCTGACTGTTGGAGCAATATATAGAAGGCTCATAAATACACCCAGAAAGAGCACATTGTACATAAATTCAGTTATTATTCTTCACTGTTGAAACGGCTAAGGGAAGATCTGGTGAGTACTCTTGAGCTGAAGAACAGATGAAAACATTGATCCATCCTGTAGCTTTTTATTTTTAATTTATATGAGGAAGGTTAACAAGCAGCAGAACAGCCAGAAGAGGCCATTTCAAGCTTCCCAAAGGAAAAAGGGTGTAAGGATAGAGATATAATACGGTGTCAAGTGCTGGGACTGGAATGCTAGGGGAAGAACATAAGGAAGACCAGAAAGCAATTCATATTGCCCTTCTAAGCTTCGGATTTCTTCATGCCACTTGGAACCCTCCCTCTGTAATGACCCATCCTCAGACACATGAGTGTGAAAGCTCCACAAAAAGGCAGGTTTGCAGTAAGACTGTACAGCAGCAGAGTGACCTATCATCAAGTTGGGAGCCAAGGAAAGTACTGCCTGCATATTTTCTGTGACCACAAAATCACCACTGGAAAGCTGCAAGAAGAAGGAATCTTACCACAGTTTATAAAACCCTCAACTACACTCATTAAACATAACTAGCTGAAATAGCTAACCTATTAACCTGCCACCTAGGCAGTTCTTGATCTCCAATTCACCCCTTCACCCTTCTCCTGCTTTCTAATACCACACAGACCTTCTTCAGTGTCCAAAATGAATAGTAATCCCAGCACTATTAATACGGCGGCCTTTTTCTGCCACTTCTAGCCTCACCTGGATTCCTTGACCTAATACCTCAAATCAAGCCATGAAGTTTGCAAGCCAAGTACAGTTCTTCCAAGGGAAGACTGTCCAGAAAGTTCGTAATAATTGTGCCCCATACAATTCTTCTTACTCAAGGATTCTTCCCTCCTTTATTTGTCCTACCTTCCTAATTAAAATACTGTAATTATCTCAACACACCCATTTTGGGGATGAGCCTGGAAGCAAAGAGGAGGAGCCTGAAACATCCCGATGAGAAGAGCACTGTTCTCATTAATATTTGTAATTTGCTTGTATCACTAGATTAATTATATTTAATTGATTAGCTACTGATCTGGCATCTGAAATAAACTAAGCATTTTACACTCCAGAAAATTATCTGAGAAATTAATGCTGGTTAGAAGTGAGGGGAAATGATTTTCAAAGTAACTTATGACATAATAAAATGGTTACTAGGAACTAGCCAGGGATAATCATGCAGACTTGGAATATATTGCAAGATAAAGCTTTCATTTAGTTAATTTCATGGTATTTTGAAAAACACATTATTCAATTAATGTTTTGATTGAGGGAATACTTTGTGGCTATTCATGAATATATACAGAATGCTGTGAATTTTCTATGTTTCGGGGGAAAAAAAAGGAACTGTGGTTTCATAATATGTAATAACAGTTCAATATTGAGACATTAACTGAAATAAAAGCTGAAATTAAAAGCTGACTGCTCCTTGGAGCCAGTGTACTTTATCATAAGTCATTTGGCTGCCAAGGAGACGGAGCTAGTGAATATGTAGGATGAAACAAGGCCACTATTCTAACGGAATAAAGGCGACTTTTATCTCCGGGTCTCCAGCTGGAATAATGTGATGGTGGCCTATGACAAGTGAGCAGATGGTCTGAGTCTAGTTGTGGGATATGTACCCCAATATGCCCCCCAAAAGAGGCTTGAAACCTACTGCATAGGGGCACTGCACAAATCTTTGAATTCTTAAAGTAGTTTTTCTAAGTTATGGCTGAGGAACATTAGCAGATCGGGATGGAAAGCCTGGTTTTCAGCCTTGAGATCCTCCCACATGCTCTGTGGATAACTAGAAGACTTTGACCTAAAGTCACCTTGTCCTAGTTTCTAATTCACTTTTGTGCAGATGAGATTACAGGATCGGGGCCTTGGTATCCAAGTTGCCAAATTCTTTCACGAATGAAAAATCACAAGATTTTCCCATCTGAGCTTAGGTTTCTTTGCAGGATCAAGCTCATCCTATAGGTAGAAGAGTAAATTTCTCGCTCTTGCCAAATGCACAAGCAAAATGAGGGGTGCTAATAAAAAAAGGGACACCTCCGTAATTAACTTTTGTAAAATGTTTCTTCAAACTACAACTTACAAAGTTTTGAGGCTGAAATGTCACACTCAAACCGTGAGGATCCCTTTAAGCAAAAGCTATACCATAAGGAAGAACTAAAAGGAAAGACAGCAGTTGATCAAACACTGCCCTTGCTAGTTTTTCATGAATTATATCCCCAAATTTTTTACAAAATTGAGTAACAGAAGGAAAACAGAAGACACATTTTTATTTTTGCAGCACATTCCTTTGGCATATGCAGGATAAAGCCTATCATGTGAGTTGAACAGTAAATGAAGGCCTTATGCTTTATAAAATTCTCTTATTGTCCCATTAGGGATGAGAGTCAACAGTTTCAGCGATGTTTTGCATCTCGTAAATATGCTGGCAAAACAAGCAAATACTTTTTTTTCATATACAAAATTAACGCACGGAACTGTTGCATTTCAGACCTGACTTCACTGTATTATACCAGAGATTAATTGGACCCATGTTATTTAGATATCTACCCACCTTTGCTGCTTCAGCAACCACCCAAAATAATATAATGCAGGATTTTAAATAGTATGTTAGCCCAGTTTCCTCCTAAAAGTCTTACAGTGGAGTTTAGGAAAGTTCCAAAAGTAGCATATTGATTGCCTCTGGGATTTTCCACTTAGCAATTTAATAGAAAATTACACCCTTGCCCAATCTGTGAGGTTTCCATAACCTCCCTTGTGAATTTAATTTCCCCGAGTCTAATAAATTTTACCATTAGGCGCATTTTCTGATATTGCTTCACCATTAAGCCAATTTTCTGGTTGCTTTTTTGGAACTGGGTCTACTTTTCTGCCGGGCGTTTGTGGGCAGCACCTTGAGTGGGAGAATTTGGGCCTGATGGCAACTACGATTACAGCACAAATCAAGTTATTAATAGGCAAATTTTGCTCTTTGGGGGTTCTATTTCCATATTCCTAGCAGAGGATGTTACCCGAGCCAGGAACAGTCTCCTGCGGGCTACAGTTGGACCATGGATAGATCTGCACCGATGTTGGTTCAACGAACAGCCTGACTACTCCTAAGCCACCACGTTGTAACCAGACTCCAGTGTTGGGTGGTCAGGAGCCTCCCCTGCCCGCCATGGGCACAGGTGGCACAGGGGACCAAATTTAAGTGCAACTTAAGCGAAATAAGTGAACGTGAAGCACAGCTGAAGGCGTCAAGTGATGTAGAAGTTATAGCCTGAGTTTTGAGCCTCTTAAGAGCATCTCTCGTGCCACGGCGGCCCTCACAGTGACCGTGAGGCACTCGCTGGTGGCGCCGAGGTGACTCTGCGGAGGGAGAGGCTCTGCTGAGGGGACCCGGTGTTAGCAGAGGAGCAGGTCCTCGCGAGGGACGTCGCGGGGCCACACGGCGCTGCCCGCAGGGCTCGAGGCGCCGGGTCTCCCCGCTGGCCGCCA